TGTTAACAGAGTCTCCTGCCAGTGTTGCATCCATATTTTATGGCGTGTCTTGTCGGCTGTCATATTATGTCATTTTTAAATCACAAACAAAAAATAAATAATATTGTTTCACTCTCTTAACAGCGGAGAATAATCATTAATTAAATATTAAAATGGGAGATCCTGGAGAGGGGGCGAAAGGAGAGGATGAAGATACTTTGGGTGTATGTTGCATTTGATAGGACTACAGTTTTTAATTTTTATATTTTAAATAGGTAGTCACGACACGAACAGGTAGTCAAAAAGTGCCTGATATTTTCATATTATTGGTTGCATGCAATTGTAATATTTGCTTTTAGATTTACGTAGGCGCTCGCAACCCAGAAGGTGACCGCCATGGTGAAGGATGGGCAGTACTCCCAAATGGCGATTTTTATGAAGGTTGCTACTGCAGAGGGATGAGGAATGGAAAGGGCATGTATGTTTTCATGAAGAATGGTGCTCGATATGAAGGTACGTATGTAAGGTACTTATTCAATAACCACAAGGTAAATAGATAGAGTTTGGTAGTATATTTGTTCATCGTATTACTTAGAATATGTAATTAATAGATTCAGTCGTTACTTTGCAGAAGTCCATGTTAATAAAAATGGAAGTAAATGAATTTGCTACTCCGCGAACCCAGGGTTAATTTACTTCCATTTTTATATTATAACGGTCGTAGTCGTGGGTTAGCGCAGCGAGAGGCACATTTCAATGATAAACGAGGAAAATATTCATGAATAATACTTTACTACGTGTATTCAGATTGAAGCTTCTTCTAGAACAACAATGATGTTCTTATTTTTTACAATGCACTTTATTTTTATATAATTCTAAACACAAGTCTATATTTATACAGCCAGTTCTAATACAAATCATAGAGCCTAGTCTACATCCCTTCTCCTCACAACTGAAGGGGTGAACTTCCCTAGCTAGTGCCCTGCCTATGATAGGAAAATTCACATAGGTGATCAGCATTTACTATAGGTTAGCCACCATTTGTAAGGGTCGTAGCCGTGGGTAAGCGTAGCGGGAGGCACATTTCAATGATAAGCGATAATTTTCAGAAATAAAACTTTATTACGTGTATTCAGATCGAAGCTTCTTCTAGAACAACAACGATGTTCTTTTTTTACAATGCACTTTATTTTTATATAATTCGAGACACAAACCTATATTTATTCAGCCAGTTCTAATACAAATCATAGAGCCTAGTCTACAATACTATGTGTTCAATATATTTAAAAGTGGTTTTTCTGTTAACCATTAAAAGTAGAGTAAGCTATTAATTAAAAACCAAACTAAATGTAATTTCAGGAGAATGGCGAAAGCACATGAAGTACGGAGTAGGCAAAATGATATACCCAGACGGCTCAAGATACGAAGGTGACTGGAAACATGATTTGAAACAAGGATTTGGGGCTTACTACTACCCCAATGGAGACATTTACGAAGGAGCATGGTTTAAAGGCAAACGCCACGGCTTGGGGACTTATTTCTTTTCAGAATTTAATGTAAAATTCATGGGTACATGGAAAGATGGAGTAATTATAGGCCCTGGACAGATTATATATCCACGTTACCGATTCCATGGCTCTTGGACAAAGGGAATGCCAAAAGGGACTGGTTGTTTTGTTTTTGAAACAAATTGTATGCAACATGGATTCTATTTGCTGATAAAAGATTCTGCTGCCGAAGAGTTCGGAGAAGGCGAAGAAGAAAAGGAAGACATTAAAAAAGAAGATGAGAAAATGGAAGGCGAATATGAAGAGGAATTCGACGAGACTTTGGGTAAGACTAGTATTAAGTGTTTATAAATACAACACTTATATATTAAATACAACAATCCTTAGAGAGCCAAGAATACCTAATGCGTAATCCTTAATGTTCCAACTTTGCGACCTTTATAAACAACATTGAACAACTTACCGCCCTTTTTATAAACATAATTGAACAACTTAGCGTCCGCTATAAATTGTCTGGATTCGAACTCACGGCTTCTGCTTGAGAGATTCAAACCGTTATCATAAAAACCATGTAGGCTACCACGGCTATTTAATTGAAATTTATTATGAGGTTTTCGGTGAAGGTAAATATCGTGGAGAAACCTGCAAATTCTGCGAAGCAATTTAATTATGTGTGTGAAGTCTTCGTGGGAACTAGCCCAAGCCCTCTCATTGTCGAGATTCCGCACAAATGTAATTCAAAGTGTATTCCGTAGCATTTAAGTTTATTTGAAAAGAGCAATCCCTAGAGATTCTACCACGTTTTTCTCAGGGAAGTCGGCACAGTGAACGAAGAATAGCTTAAAACAAATTACGTTTTCAAATGTGTGTATTTGGCTTTGATTTTGTGAGAAGAGCCTGTGCTCAGCATTGGGACTTTATCTATATAATTTAAAATATCAGCCTATGCTAATAATATCTTTTTAGGCAATTAAACTATTATTCCGGATTTAAATGGCGTATATTTTGTTTTTCAAACAAATCAACGTTTCGAAATATTAGACATAACTGGTTGATGACTGTACCACCTCAGTCAACCGTCATCACGGGACCTGTAAAGGGCCCGAAACGTTGGTTTGTTTGAAAAAACAAATATACGCGATTTAAATCCGGAAATATAGTTTCATTTTTTATGTGTAACAATCGCGAAAACCTAAGAACTTGATAAATATATTTTTATTTCTCTACAAAAAATAGAAACCTACCTGCTAGTTTTGTTCTGGTTATGAATACAAGGATCGAACACACTAGTGGAGTTATTTAACAAAAAATCTCAATAAATACATTTGATCGAAAAGGGACATCTGCGTCAGTTGTGACAGGTATCGGTTGCGGTGAGGTTATTCAAAAATCTCTCACTAGATGTCACTAGCGGCGACGAATGCCGAAAGCCAGTACAAGGATCTATAACAAAAATACAGAAGAATTTCGACGGCTCGGTGCAGCATGGACGTGTCGACGAAATTTTTCTGTGTGTTCGGTCTTCGTATTCACTATAGCCATAACAAAACTAGTGGAGTTATTTGACAAAAATCTAATAAATAACTATACCTACATTAAGTACCTAATAAATCAAACCTTATAGGCTACAATATTATCAAAGACTTCTTTAGATGGTGTAATTACATTTGGCGACGTTCTTTATAAAAGGGCAAATCTGCCTTCCACTAACTAAAACGTGGCTAATTGACAAATGGTTAAATAACCGTTTTAAATAGCAAAAAATATAACACAAAATTCTCTTTTAAAACCATTTAAAATTGGTTAATGTGTTCGACTTATCGGAACTTACCCTCACGATGCATAACTGCAATATTAAACAAATTCAATATTGTGAAAACGGGGTTATGTTTTTATATCTCAAAAAATGTTTTTGTCACTTTGCCGCCTTTTAGTTATTGAAAATATGAAAATGAAAATATTATAATTATCTTATCTGAATTCCAGGCAAAATCGCAGTATGGCGCGCTCGCAACGTCACAGCGTACATGGCCGAATTCCTTCCACCGGAGCCTGTTCCCCTCCCTGTTCACGATTCAATACCATCGCTCACGGATGCTAGTTGCATTACGGACAACTTGGTCTTCGAACTTCCCTCTGTGGTGGCTGAAGAAGAAGGCGCTGATGATAATGACTCCTGGCTTCTCCATCGGCAAAAATTCTTTGAAGAAAGTGACTCAAAAGTAAACTAGTGTTTTTTGTACAAATTTTGATTCTTAGGTGCATTGTTTTAATAAATAAAGTATTTTCTATTTATTCAAGTGAATTACAATATCTTGTACCAAAACTAAGCTATTATACATTTATGACAACATAGTAACAAGTGAAATGGTACAATAAAAAAAAATACATGGACATTGTTGTAGAGGAGCGCTAAAAAAGGTTGAATTATGATAACAATGTCCATATGAATCACTGGCCACAGAACTTGGTACTTGGTGTAACGGGCTGGTATCCGCAACTCGACGACAAGGCGCCTATTTTGCGTGTGGTGGGTGCAGGGTCCTACTCGTGCCACCCAAGCTCCTCCAGGAATCTCAGCAGCCTCCTCGGTTTGCTGAAGACTTCGGGGAGCGACCTTGGCACGCCAAAGTACTTTGCCCTGTAGTAGGATGTGCGCAGCCATTTCCTCCCCCTCCATGCACGCTCTGCATAGAGGGCTGTCTGTGATACCTAAATTGAAAAGGTGTTTATTGTATGGACCATGACCTGTTAGGGCGGCAGTTAGAGTGCGAAGCTCTTGCCTGTTGAGTTTAATTAATATTCGTGATAGACTGGCATTGAGCGTTGGGAGTGCTTCCCTCGCCTGTCTACAAACCGTAAGGGTAGTCCATGTATTATTATGTGAAGTTTTTGTACCTTTGTGTATAGTTGTTCTGGACCATTGGTATGGGAGGGACACTATGGGTTCTGGTCCTACTGCGTCCGTCTCCGACCCTTTTCTGGCTAGTTCATCTGCTGCGTCATTGCCCCGTGAGCCGCTGTGTCCTTTAATCCACTGTAGAGTTAAGTGGTTTTGTATACATACCTCCATGAGTGCTTGATGGCATTCATAAATGAACCCTGAGTTTATGTCATAGCTGTTCAATGCTTGAAGTACTGACATACTGTCAGAGAGTATTCGAATGGAGTGGTTCTTTACTCTTCTCGCTATGATTGCTTCTGCCGCCAACTTGATGCCCATGCATTCAGCCTGGAATACTGTGTTGTGGTCACCAAGCGATGTTGATATCCTGATATTGAGGTCTTCTGAGAATACCCCAGTACCTGTTCCTGAATTTGTTTTAGATCCATCGGTGAAGACGCAGACCTCTCTGGGGTTCAGTCCTTCATTTGGATCTTCAAACAATTGTATCTTGTATTTTTTGTCGAAGATGTATTGTTTTGGGATCCTATCCACAGCCGCCTCCAGTAGCAGTTCCTCATTGACTGTCTTATAAAGGATTTCTGTATGTGGGGTCCTCATGTGCTTCCAAAGGCCGGCTCTGTTTGGACGCACTGCTGTTGACGCCGCTTCCTGTCTAATGAACATTGGGAGGGGTCGCAAATCCAGCATCGCTTCGAGGGCCGCAGTCGGAGTTGTCCTCATGCAGCCGGTCGTTGCCGTACAAGCGAGTCTTTGGAATTGTTCCAGCTTGTCGGTTGCGGTCGTCAGCTTGGTTCGTGGCCACCACACTATCGCGCCGTAACTGATCATGGGTCTTATCACTGCTGTGTAGTGCCATAGTGTTATTTTGGGTGGGAGTCCCCATTGTTTACCTACCATTCTATGGCACTGCCAGAAGGTGATAGTGGCTTTTTTAATTTTGTTGTCCAGATGCTTGTTCCAATTCAACTTGTTGTCCAGTATTACTCCCAAGTACTTGACTTCGGTTGATATCTGTAGTTCTGTACTGAAGAGTTTGGGTAGTAGGTAGTTACCCAGTAGTCTTTTGTTTGTAAACATTACTAGTTCCATCTTTGTTGGGTTTACCGATAGTTCATATGCCCTGCACCATCTTTCCACAATCCGGAGTGCAGCTTGTGTAATGTCGCAGAGTACACTGGCATAATTTCCTGTTAACAGTATAGCTATGTCATCAGCATATCCTACTGTATAGAAATGTTCTTTGTTCAGTTTAATGATGAGGTCATTTACAACCATGTTCCACAGCAGAGGCGACAGTACCCCTCCTTGAGGGCATCCCTTCGCTACTATGGCCCATGGGGTCTTATTTGCTGTTGTTTTTATTGTTCTTAATTTTAGCATGTTGCTAATTCAGCTGATGAGCACTTCATCCACTTCGTGCCTCCTCAGTGCTGATTGTATGCTGGAGAAGTTGGTTTTATCGAAGGCTCCTTCAATGTCGATAAAGGTGCCTAGGCCGATTGCTTTGTCTTTGAGGGCCACTTCTATCTTGCCCACAACGGCATGTAGGGCCGATTCAGTGGATTTGCCTTGACTGTATGCATGTTGGTTTCCGTGTAGTGGTATGTTCTTAAGCGCTCCATCCCTCAGTTCTCTGTCACATAACCTTTCTAATGTCTTCAAGAAGAACGATGTGAGGCTGATTGGTCTAAAGGACTTCGCGTCAGTGTAGTCGTGTTTTCCTAGTTTCGGTATAAATGACTTTTACCTCTCGCCAGCTGTAGGGCACATAGCTGAATGCTAGACAGGCCTGAAAGATGTTGACCAGGTGCTGGACCAGTGTGTCCCCGCCCCATTGTAGGAGTGCGGGGAATACTCCATCTTGGCCCGGAGCTTTCTACGGTTCAAAGGTGTTTACTGCCCATTTTGTCTTTTCGTATGTTACTACTTGTTCAGCATATCGCCAATTATGGGTCGATGTATTGTAGTTCATTTCTTCGCACCTTTCTTCTTGGACGAACCTACATCCTGGGAAATGTGCTTCCAGTAGGGTTCTCTCCGTGTCCGCAGGGGAAGTTGTGTATGTGTTGTCTATTTTGCGTATTGAACCTAGCTCAGTTGAATTTGAGTTGCCTAGGATTTTCCTTATTCTGTTCGCTTGTGCACAAGACGTGATGTTCCCGCAGTAGCCTCGCCATGACGCGGTGCTCCTGAATCGTATGCGCTTTTTTAGCTTGGGTTTGGCCGTCTTGTAGTTTTCCCAGTCCTCCGCGCATGTGTTCATTGCTCTATTGAAGCGTCTCCTTACCCTTCTTCGTAGCCTCACTGGCCACAGTAATAATTCTAGTGTGTGTGGCCAGTGGTTAACAAACGTTATTATAATTCATCGAGTATATATCCAGAAATAGAGACGAAATAAGGGCCATATATTCTTTGTAACACATTAGCGATACAGCTCTTATAAATATCAACTCTCGTTTGCACTGAAATATAGACAGGCCAACTACTGACCTGTGTATATGTCTCCGTATATTCCAAAAAATATTCTGTATTTATTGTAATAAAGATAATATCTCTAACAATGGCGTACTGTTCTATTCGGTGGTGTGGAAAAAACAGCAAAACATCTAATTACAAAACAAAGGGAATCATATTTCATCATTTCAGTAATTAAATATGTAATTTTGCAATTTTCGTCCATTATAGCAAAGCTCAAGTTAACTTGTCGATTTGAAATGAAACAATGGACGACACCCGTCAATTGTTTCGAACTCGGGCTAGCCAATCGGAGGGCAGTTGTCACAGTAATGATATGGCAGAATAGTTTTCAAACAAATTAAATGATGTTTCGTCTATTTCTGGATATATTCAACTAAATATGTCCATAAGTATAGAAAAGAAAAAATATATGACTCACCTATAATATTCCGTGATGTCTTAGGGCAATATATTCTGGAGGCTGTATGTAGGAGGCATATTTGTACTTATTAGCCTTATTTACCAGACACGTCTTCTAATGTTGTATCCACAGATAAAAAGGTAGACCACCTCTTATCTATCAAATTAAAACCAAAAAGTTATATGACTTAGCATTTATTATATTTAATAATAAAATAAAAAAACTAATTCTCCAACTCTCCTTGAGCCATGTTGAATATTATACAAAAATGCTAAGCATCACATATGAGAAAATATTTGATTAACATTAATAATGGGTGAACAAAAAAAAAGGTTTGGATGTCGTGGCATTTACAATTATTATTAATTATGTTTATGGAGTTTAAGTTTGTTGGAAGCATCATTTTGTTTGAACTCCACTATAGAATTGAAAAAAAAAAGACAAAGCATTATGAGTTTTATATATTAAGTACCTACTTGTAACTTAGATGTGTCAATTGAAATAATCTTTGAAAGTCGTAAGGACAACTTGAAAGAATTGAAAAAACTTTAAAATAGATGCTTGTAGAAGCACTGCAGTGGCGCGACTTTTTATGTAGTTTTAACGGCTTTGGCATAATACTATACAGCCTGTGACGGATCTGACAGTGACAGTAATTTTTAGTTTACAAATTTCGACTGTAAAAATAATAAGCGGCAATCTATCTCACCACCACTCTACATGTCTGTCAACCCTGACGTTGGCGAAATCGTCTCGCTAAACGACGGAGCCATACATATAAAAGTTGAAGTTGACTGTAAAAATGGCGCGCGCATGTCACGAGTGTCACTGCAACTGCGCAAAAAAAACATCGAATTTAAAAGCGCAGTGTAAAAATTTGTTTCAGGAGCTAACACACACTGATGATAGTGCTGATTTTTTAAATAAAAATAACAATACCAGATTGAACAACATACTCAAAACTAAATTCAAACTTCGAACTCATAATGTGTGATAAAACTTAAATGTTAGCTCGTTCAGCCTTCTAAATTTGAATTCAAACAGAAAATGTTTCATTCAAGTACAATTAACAATAGGCCAAGCTTTACACAGTCACTTTGTGCGTGATCAGGAGAATACAGGATTGCACGCAGGAAAGCCTGCACACGAAATCATGCGCGACCTGTTTGAAATATTTTAAGCTAAAGTTCTTTACCGCATGATTGCTCAGGAGCATACATGTAAAGGCTAGTAGCGCAGGACAGACTGCATGAAACTGGTACATGTTGGAATGCACAGTTGTGTATGTTACTAATGAGCTCAATCACCCAATTGCACACAATTGCTGTATCACGCTATATAGTGTCTGTGTCAAGCTTGCTATCATGTAGTGTAGTATTCTTAAGTTTTAAATTACTTGTTTGTAGCAATAACATTATAAACATTGCTATGTGAACACAGGTAAGTTATGAAAATTGCTCAGAAAACAATTGTTCATCCCAAATATACATGTCATAAGTACTTAAGACTAATGGGTAAACTATAGGCGACAATACAACCAGAGTGTCCAGATACATCATATTCCCTCTTTCTTTGAAATTTACTTGACAATGTGAGAAAGGGAGATATGAAGCTGCTACATTCCAGCTGCTAACTATAATTCCAACTATAAAACCAGTCACTTTAATAGCTATTATGATTGTGGATTCTGTGGTGCATTATTATTTGAGCCAGAGGTAGGATTGTCAAAGGTACACTTGTTCTTCAAAAGGTATGCTGCGAGGTAGTTGATTGGGTCCGGTGGCCTCTCCTTAGCCAAGGCGGATAGCCCTTGTAAGAGTATCGGGACCACAGTTTGGTCCAAGTATTGCCGTGTCGGTAAGGCATTGAGGTCGATCCTTGACTTACGCGTCGCGTTGCTTTCGTTCTCCTTCTCCATCGATATTATTTTCTGTAATAATTCGAAAAAGGAGTTCAATAATTCAATTGGAAATGTGACCAAGGAGCACTAATTTTACAAGCATTCTCAATCAATTTTGCAATTGACAAAGGTGAATGCAATTTCGATTAATGATATTTATGAAACCGTTTTACAAAATAAAAGAACTGTTCCGCCAACGTTTTATAAATATTCGTATTGTTGAATGTTTGGTAGAACATCTTTTCATTAAAAATGATATCATTCGATTTTCAAAATACATTAAAAATCACTAACCTTTACAGTTTCTGGTATTTTCGAAGGTGGTGGCGGTGGCTCTTCTTTTTGTTCACCCAGCAGAGAGCGTTCTGACATGGGTTTCTAAACAGATATTAGCTGTTCACCAGAAATCAAGTTATATTGAAAAGAGAAATAAACAAAGATTCAGCCGACCGGACCGTTCGGATCTGTCAAGTTAACAAAAGTCAAATATGTTTTTTTTTCTTAGTACTGTGTACTATTGCTCGATTTCAAACATTGGATCGATAAAGTGTTTGTACAAACACTTTATTGATTGGAATACTGTTGGGTAATTTTTCGAAAAATGCCAAGTAGTGTAAATTTTTCTAAAAAATCCCGAAAAATAGGAAAAATATACTTTGGAAGCCTCACATTATGTTCTACTTTCAGAAATGTCTTTTGAAGTTTTATTTAGCGTGAATTATAAAATGTAACTTGTAAAAGGCATCTAAAGAAAACGAGATTTAAAATGCTTTAGCGAAAAAACCTCAAACAACCACACCACCACCACTTGTTGTTGGTCCATCGTTTTCGTTCAGTAACATCAACTTTTGACCGATGTCAACGCCAAATGTGGAAAATTAAAGAAAAAACATTCGAAAAATATCCGGAAAATATTTATTTTTCTGAATAATTTTACAGATACGAATATAGAAACATTATTCGATTTTTGCAATATAGTTAGGATCTTTTACATAATATAAGTATATTTGTTTTTCCATAAATGCGAAGTCAAATCCACTGTATTCATATTTCCATTTCCGCTGTCGTCGTATGTCAAGAGTACATCAAGTTGAACCCTTGGCTTTTGGAAATAAGTAGTCAAGGTCAAGGTGGAAAAATGTCCACGCCTAAAGAAAATCGTTTTCTTCAAAAGTGAATTTTGCTATACAAGATTATTTTATAACTCACGCTAAATAAAACTTCAAAGATATTTCTGAACGTAGAACATAGTACCAGTCTTACAAATTATATTTTTCCAATTTTTTGAGAAATTTTCCGCAAAAATTTCCGGTATTTAAAATTTTTCAGAAAATTACCCAACAATACAAACATCACTATACTATAAAAAAAGTTTACTTTCTTTATAAATAAATATTTCATTTTGGCTTGGTTACTTGGGTTTGGGAAGTAAAATTGTTTAATTCATAAATATTGTTTATTAATCGGACAAATCAGATTTTTGTCAATGTGTATAATATTTGTAAAAAGCATAAAAAACGGGTTTTTTGAGTAAGAATCCTGAGCATATTCAATGAGCAAGCATGAGAAAAAAGTGTATCACTTATCACTTTTACAATAACATGTAGTTGCTATTGCTGATAGATGTGCATATGCAATTGCGACTTAGAATTTTCCAGTTCTCTTTATTGTCATTTTGTCTTTAGGGTCAGGGTCAATCTACACGCCTTCCAGTGTGGAGGGAGAGTCCCCACTTAACCCCTGAGTCTCCCTGGGCTCAGGGATATCCATAAAGATTTCCTCCGTCAAAAAAAAAGCGTCAATCTACACCGTGGTTAAATAAAGAAAACACCAAATCACGTTAATTTTAACGATTTATTTATGAAATGCCTTAAATTCAGCTACACCTATTTATACAATACACACCATATACACACCACGCGTTATAAGTTTTATATTTATGCAAATGCAAATTTTTGATTGTACGTGACTATAATAAAGTATTTTACAGTAATAATATACTGAATAGTGGGTTTAATGAAGAAATAACTTAGAATAAAAATATGTTTTTAGTTACTTTTTATATGACAGTAGAAAAAGAAAATATATATTGCATTACACACATTTACAAATAAATATATGAAACCATATTACATCACTCTTTATTAGGTAAATGATCTTTATTAGATAAAAGTTGACTAACTCACGACAAATAAACAGTGCTTTTAGAACTGATTTGTTCACAATAATCACATATAATAAAAATTATAAAATTGGCAATTTTGAGCTGCCGAAAAAATTAAGGAAATTTCAATATTTAGTAATCTATTTATGTAATAAATTTTCTATTGCTTTTTAAATACTTATATTTGCCTTACGATAATACAGGAAATCTAATATAATAAAGAAACAAACTTTTGAAACGTTCCAAAAAAACATAAGTTTCGATTTCGACGGGCCGAATCGATTCGTAGTCTAAGTAACAATCGATATCTAGTTCAAATCCAGTAAATTATTGACAGTTTCTTCCCCTACTTCCTGACATTTTCTTATTGTATATACAATGGCCAGTTGCGCACAGTTTCTAAAACTTTTTTAATCTTGAAATAATTTTTATTTCCCATATTGGTAATCTTTCTAAACCTAAACAAGTTAAGACGACGCTTTTTTTAAATGCATTCTTATTAACCCTATGACCGCCATGGACAATTTAAAGGGTTTTACATTAACTTGGCTGATACGCCAAAGACGCCTTAAAGGGTCAACGATCAATTTGCAATTGAAATTAATAAATAAATACTAAGATATTCCATCTATTATTTGTATATTCTAGTTTAGTATGATGCTCAGTTATGTTCTTCTTTAACTTAGGAGAATTGAAGTGACATGTTATGAATATCCACCTATATTGGAAATTCATAACATGTCACATCACTAGGTTGGCGTCCAGGGAACGAAAGTAGTTTTTTTGTCAGTGGCGGTCAAAAGGTTAAAGTTTTAGAACTGTGCACAATAGAATCGATATTAATTTAATTTTGTTATATATACTAATATACCGATCTGAAGTTCAGGAGCTTATATCAAGATAGATCTTGAGATCAGTTTATTAATACAGGCTTTATGAATATATTTTTTTTAAGTTCTAAGGTAGTGTGGCGGGGGTGGAGGCGGTGGTGCGGGACGGAGGCGGGGTCCTCGCTCGAGCTGCCGGCGCCAGGAAGCCATGGTCTCGCTGAGGGTCCACAACTCTGAGAGGAGGGAGAGGTCCAGCTGCCGGAGGTTAGCCTGTAAAGAGAATATTAAACGTCAATATTGTGGAATTTTACTCAAAATACGCTCTACCATAATGACAGGTTTCATGATGGGAGGTGACTCTGAATATTTATAATGAAAGTCTTTTCAGATAAATAGATATTTCATTCTGCAAAATATCAAACTGTCACCTTGGATTCTGTTTAAAAGCGAGCCAAGATGCTGTATAGTTGCCTGTTTATCGGTATTCTACAGGATATATATCACGGAGCGTGTGAAGAAATTCCACGATTTAATTCCGCCTTTCCATCATCGGAAGAGTAGACGCAGCTGCGTAGGCTGGGATTTGAATAATATAAGGATATTCCAAAGATTCGCACGAAGCATTTCGCTTCCACATTTATATAGCGGGCGGATATGGAGTGGAATTCTCTGCCTACAGAAATGTTCGGTCTAAACGGTATAACTTGGGTCTTTTCAAGACGAGAGTGAATAGGCGTTATTTGGTGGTGATGGTGGATGGATGTGATGGTGTGCGCATGCACCATCGTCGACCTCATCGTCACTTTCCACCAGGTTAGTTGGAGGTCAATACACACTTAGTTTTTAATAAATAAAATACTGTTTGTATTTCTTTCGGTAAAATAAATAATAATTAAGGATTAATACAGAGATCGAAAACTTAGAAAAAATTACTTCGGTCCGGCCGGATTCGAATCGACACGTCCTCCAGCAAACTCTGCCTAAAAAGTCGTTAAAAACCATATACAAAGATCCGACAACAAGCACATAGAGAAATTCGTGATGTCCGCTGCTTCGTTCCGTGCCTTAGTTGGTATAGCGTCTGGCACGGTTTGCTGGAGGGCATTAGCTAGAATCCTCCCGGATCGAAGGATTTTTTTCTAAGTGTCCGATCTTTTTATTAATAATTATAACGAACTAGTGGAGTAATTAAAAAAAAAAAATATCGAACCATTCTGACATTAAATAAAACACTTAATAATTAAGTATATGAACAGGTATACAAGTATATTTCAGCTTCAAATAAAAAACAGAACTTCTTAGCGATTTTCTCAGATAATTATACAAGTCAGTCTGAAATTTAATAGTCAATCATTATGTACTTGTTTTATTGAATTATGGCTCCGAGTCGCACTATTATTATTTACATATTATGAGGAGAAAGCTGTGAAAACATTGTGAGGTATCGCGCACGGATCTAAGAATCGTGATCGTAGAAAACACAAATGGCGATTATGGCATTTGCCCTTAGGCGATTGTTTGAATATTTATAAGTTTTATTTAATGTAAGAGTGCATCGTTGCTATACTCGCTTAATTATCATAAATTTTGTTACGTAAAGATAGATAACAAAAAATGTTTTAGTCTGTACTTCTATTTGCATTGCACAAGTTACATCAACATACAATTGATAAACTTCTGAGCAAATTTATAGATTCCAATTTATCATTAAAATATTAGAATAATTTCTAAAACCATTTGTAAATGTGGGAACTTTGTCTATGCATTTTTGCCTCGAGATATAATACCTAAGTATTACCTATTTCTGCCGCCGAGTTTCGTTTTTGAAGGGTAAGGGTGCTGGTGAAATTACAGGCACATGGCACTTGTCAACTTATATATCAGGGTGACGGGCGCAACGGCAGTACCGCTCAGGTCTTTGTGATTTAAAGCTCTTTATAGTGGCACTGCAACTGTTATGTTTAGGCGTACAGCGCTTAAGTGTAAAAATAGCATTTGCAAAAACTCATAGAAAAACATTCACAGCACAATGCAAGTAAAACGACCTTCTTGCGCTCGAATGGATAGGAATGCGACACGATCTACAACGTGTTATTGTCGTTAGTCGGGTTATGGTCGTATGTAGGTTATATAGTGATTGATATTGCGCCACTATAACTACTATTAGATAACTGATTGATACAAACACATATTATATGTATATAGGCGAGTAATTTTAATATTGTTTTAATATACATAGGACTCTGTGGAGACGTATATTAGCTTTAAGTTGAACACCATTTATTTATTTATTTATTAGAAATTTGGCAGAAAAATGGTTGCCACTTCTTCAATATAAAACTTTAAAAAAAAGTAAAGTTAAAAGTAGGTACCAAGAATTTAGTAGCAGCAGAACATCTCGTGATAGAGTTCGTCCAAGGGAAGTACTGCCACCTTACCTATTTCTGCCGTCAAGCAGTAATGTGGGCATTGCTGCGTTCTGTTTTTAAAGGGTAAGGGTGCTGGCGAAATTGCAGACCCCAGGCAGTTCCCAGGACGAACTCTTTCACAAGGAGCTTGTACTGCTGCTATAAATTATGTCTCAGAGTGACGGGCGCATTACCCCTCAGATGTTTACGATTTAAAGCTCTACGTGGCACTGCAATTGTTATGGATACGCGTGTCGTTTACTACCAGGTGCACGACTTCTTCGTCCCGTCACTTGATATCATAAAAAAAAGAATAATGTATGAACAGTCTGGTGCGAGTCGAGCAGGCGGAAACGATTGTTACTAGATACCTAGGTATCTGCCTTACGCAGTGGTGATGTGTATATGCAGAAAAAATAAGGAAAAAGAAATAAATGAAGCCCATAGTATTAAACACTCTTTCTACAAAATAATCTCAGTACAGAGTACTAAAAAACCGACCTCAAAAGTAAGTGGAGTTACGTCTATTTGCTAAGTTTTATTGAAATATCCCCTAGCTCGCTACTATACAGAACTTGACACTGGAGATAATAAAAATCGGTCCTCACTACTCAAAGTATATTGAGAGAAAAACGCCTTGAATTAGAGAAATAGCAAAATCAACCATTAAAGTAATTGCTCCTAAATTAAAGTTAGGCGCTATTTATAAAAATGAATCTTCATGCGTGAACAGCCACCCTTCGAGGTGGATGCTTTTCTTCAAAATGAAATGGGACCACTATGGAAGTACCCCTTTCCAACAAAAAAAAAGAATCATGAAAATCGGTTCACAAATACCGGAGTTATCGCGTAACATACATACAAAATAAAAATACAGACGAATTGAAAACCTTTTTTGAGTCGGTTAAAAATACAAACAAGCCTTTACAAGGTGTCAAGATAAACATGAGAACTTTGAACAGAGGAAACATAGGCTCCATATGATTAACCAATTAGGCATATCGGCTAAGAAAACTGGTCCACCTTCAGTATTGACCATATTAATTGTAAATGAGGTGAATGTTTTGTTGCTGTGAAATATGTTCTAGTAAACCAGATTGTTGAATACTGACGTACGTATTATTATTTTTATCGTACTTGTGTAGACCTGATCAATAATATTGTCAAGTGAGATTACGTATAAAAACTAAGTAGGTACTTTTTTGTAACGCTTGGTGGTTAAATGGTGTTGTCTTGTAGCGGCCATGTTTAATTAGCAAAAAGAGGTAATTGAAATTAAAAAAAATCCTAATTTCAACAGAGAATATGGTTTCTTCATACCACCAGCTTGGGATCCAGTATTTCCTCTGAAGGCAAATCCCATGTAGACATAAGACTACTACTACTTATTAATATGTTTTACTTTATTTCTAATTTCCTTTTAATTAAAATATATTAAATTTATTAAAAATCACATTTATAATAATCATCATCATCAAATGAATCATATCAAATTATGAATTACGTATAAATTGGAATGCCCTTTGGTAAATTAAAAATACATATAACTTTTGTAAGTTCATAATAGGTTTACATTAATATTAGACATTACTGGTTGATGACTTTACCATCTCAGTCAGCTGTGACTATTGGGTCCGTAAAAGGCCCCAAAGTTTGGTTTGTTTAAAAAAACAAATATACGGGACGTACATCCGAAAATAATACTTTTATTTGCAATCTGTGAATCTATCTGTTAAGGCCACAGATTTGTGTACATATTTCTAAAGTGCACCTTACAATGTGCACATAATGTTTGAAGTAGGGTTTATCTTTTTCTAGTCGTGAACCCCTCTTAAAATTTGAAAGAGCCCACGAACCCTTTCCGAAAAGATGAAGAAAGGCTAGCGCACTGCATTGACGAGCGTTTCGCTCGCTCCATCAGTCGTTAAAGTGCGCGAAAATTCAAAAAGCTCACGCAAACGGGATTTTATTTACTAACAACATATGTATTATATACCACTTTTTATATTAATGGATTATGTTAGGTACCTACGCTTACCATGTACCCCGTTCACGACACGGACCACTTAGGGGTCCATGGACCACAGGTTAAGAAACCCTGGTTAAAAGTTATAACGTCACCGCAATGCTAAGTGCCGTTGTACACTGTGTAGGTCCGTACGGTAGGTACCCTAGCCTTACCTACAATCCCAAAACGGCTGTTAAATTTAATCTCCCAATAGAATATTGATTTAAGACCGATTTAGAAGCTAGTTTACAGGCAAGTCTAGCTTGCCCGCTCGTCAGTGGTTTTGTCCATATACGGTAGAGTCGGTCTAATAAACGCACCCACGTACAAATCCAGTATTTATAATTGACAACTTGCTTGTTTAAGAAGATTTTAGAGCACAGTTTTATCAGGATATTGAGTCGTAAATTGGATGAGAAATTACAAAATCTTATCCTCAACCTAACCTATCCATGGTGGAAAGTAAACGTGTGGACGCGGATGGTGCACTTAGGAAATGCCTGTTCACTCTCACTTTCAAACGTAGGTTGTGTCGTTCCGAAATAGGCAGTTATAAAACTTGTTAACGCTGAATCGACTTCAGAATTGAATCAATACTTCCGCTCGGACCGCTTGTGTTGACACGACATGCACAACGTCTTTTTAGCTCTTGATTTACATGAACATAAAGCTGTCTGACTGCTTTAATACGATTCCTGTTTCAACCTAATTTTTTTTTGTAGCACCAAGTGATGGGACGAACAAGATGTGTAAGCGACACGCCTGTCTATGCAGTTGCCATTGCGCCGTCATTCAGAAACATAGTGGGCAAGTCCCATGTGACTGTAATTTCACTAGCACCCTTGTCCTGCAAA